GTACTGTGTGTTTCTCATGCTGCTGTACAGTGTGGAAACCTTGAAGCTAAATAAGGAACTCCTGAAAAGATAGAGGCCATTGAAATGTGAGTCTACAGATGTGTTCCCACAGTGATGTGTCGGATAGAGTTACAAATTAGGCAATGCTGGCAAGACTGAATGTTAAACCTGATATTATATTTACTACTAAAGAGATAACTTAAGTACCTTGGCCACGTCTCTAGAGGCATAAGATATGAGTTTCTACAGCTTATAATGCAATGAAGGATAGTTGGACGAAATAACGTTGTTCGGAATGGTTCGGAATGCCATCGATCGAATTATCCCGTGCAGAAGTTTCTGAAGTGCAAATAGCCATGTTGATCAGCAAACCCTTCAGGAGACGCTGAGTCAAAGATGCACTCAGAAAAGGTTGGTGTATCCGTTCTAACGGATTATTAATAAGTTATTGAGGAGATTTTCGTGTGAATTAAATTTTTCAGTTTATTACCTTTCGTCTGTCAAACAACGAATGCCATATTATATAAGCGCTATAAGTATAAGAATATATTAAGTATAAAAGTATTTCACTCGAACATCTCTAGAATACGTGACATTAAACAAAGGTACCGTCAGCAATTTTTAATTAATTACATTGGATTTAACGTAAAACGAATGCGCACCATTTGCTCGGAGTTTCAAAAACGTTGCATTAAGATTTGATGTTTTCGGTGCAAAAAGACGTGAAAAAAAGAATAGTAATAAAATTCTATTTATTCGGCAATGACAATATATACACATGTAAACGGCGAGGGGGATATGATCCCAAATGGTAATGAGTCAAACGAACAACTAATGTTATTTGTATTAAGTGATAAACCCTTATTTTGGACACGTTTTCTATCAAATTGGAATCGCAACTTAAATGATCCTAGAATGCAGTTTTGGTACACTTTGAAACGTCAAATCATTTTAAATCGTCAACATAATACACAATTTTGGTTGTTAAAAAGTGCTGCGTCCTATAGAAGTTTGTAAGAATAGAAGATGGGTTTCAATTCGATGGACACGCTGTCTGGTGTCCAACGGAAATCGAAACAAATATTGGTCTAAAAGCTAGCCCTAGAGGTCTGAAAATACGAGATTATGTTGCTAAATATTTTATAGGAGGAGATTCCATACCGTTGTAGCAGATAATATAAAGTTAAAGACAAAATTCATTGTATTGATTGAAGAAAATTTATAACATTGTTACGTTTTTCTATGTATTCAAGGATTAAGTGAAGCAAACGTGGTTTAACTTTATTTTAACTCACAAAATTACAAATATCATAAATTCTAATTAAGAATTAATAATCATGGTTATCTCTTTACAAAACAAACACTTCGCCAATCATCATAAAACTGATTCATCAAAGGCTGACTTAGTGCCTTATGGCACGTTTACAGTCTCACTGGCATGACAGTGCTTGACTAGGACAGGCAGGTTTACTCGTATCCCGTAGCTGGTGCCAGTTTCTACTTGGCGAAGTCTGTCGTTTGTTGTACTCTTTAGAGGTACTCCAGCAATCGGAACGATGTGTTTACACGTGTCTAAAACCTCTGGCACAGGGTTAGAGGGGACGCGGACGAGGGCTACGGGTATGAAAAAACCAGTCTCTATTCGATACAGCGCTAAACTGGCGCAAAACAGTGTTTACATGATGCCATTACTATGCAACAGTGCGACTGCCACCAGTTACTGGATATGTGTAAACCTGCTTTCATATATAAAGAACATATGTTTTAGAAATAGCTAGCAGGTGACGATGTGCGATGTAACGGTCACGAAATGCCAGAAAGATACGACGACGAAGTCGTGATGAAAAGAGCTTTGTTTTGCGACGTACAGGACCGCAATTAGGGATCACAACAACATTTTAATTAAAATAATAAAATAAACTTGAAATGTACTATTTTCTTCGTTATTATGCGTTTCCCACTTCTGATCCACAAAAGTGGAGATTCAATTCTGTATTAAAAGTTCAGGATCTAAAACCGATTTTGAAATTTTAGTATACATGACACACTAGACATAGCACCATCCCTTTTTTACGTATTATTTGAACAAAAAACAAAAAGTGCCATACATACATTAAATTTAATATCGAACACTAACGTATGAAATACAAAATTCTATAAAAGTACGTCGCGTTTTAAAAGCGCGCAAGTGTGGCTATATACTCGTATACCCATTTTAAAATTTCATTAATGGACGTTGAAAAACTGCTCGTGCTAACAATTATTTAGCATTTGAATTACAAGACAACTCAGTCCTCGCGTCTTAAATACGATGACGTATGAATACTCTCGGACACACATTTCAATGTATTAACATTAACGGATTTTGATAGCCTTCATGAGAATGAGGCTTCACTCATATAAGAATAAAAACCTTTGTTGGAGAATGTAATTATATATATATATATATATATATATATATATATATATATATATTATATATATATATTTGTATATATATATATTATATATATATATATATATATATATTATATATATATATATATATATATATATATATATATATATATATATATATATATATATATATATATATATGTATACAATCACGAGCATATCGAGTTACTACCAGTTATTGCAGAGATCATCATCATCATTGGCTTTTACAAACTCTTCGTGAGTTTTTGCCGCGTTTACTATTGCCTTCCATTGATTCCGATCCTGTGCTATTATTTCCCATGTCCTTACTTCCACCTTCTCCAGGTCTTCCCTCTCTGCGTCTTTCCACCTTTTTCTAGGCCTTCCTGTCGATCTTTTACCATCTGGTCTTTCCCAAAACACATTGCTAATCAGTCTGTCGTCATCACTCCGTACCACGTGGCCTGCCCATCTTAATCTATTGGCTTTTATGTATCTTACGATTTTTCCGTTCCCGAAGAGAGTCTCTATTTCATTGTTGTATCTGCTCCTCCATTCATTTGTCACGCTGTCCCTGCAAGGACCATATATAATTCGCAGGATTTTGCGTTCTCATGTTAATAGCTTATTCATTTCTTTCTTTCTCAATGTCCATGTTTCACTTCCATATGTCACTGCTGGTCGTATTATGGTTTTGTACATTTGGATTTTGGCACGCCTTGAGAGAAGCTTTGACCTCATTAGATGTTGAATGGCAAAGAATGATTTATTCCCCGCCAGTATTCGTATTTCAACCTCCCGTTCTCCTGTGTTTTCACTGGTAATTGTTGCTCCTAGGTATTTGAATTCTTTGACCACCTCAAAATTATGATCGTTTATGGTAATGTTTTGTCTTATTCACTGTCGTTCCTTTTTTGATACGACCATGTATTTAGTTTTTTCTTCGTTTATTTTCAGGCCTACGCTTAGTGTTGCTTCTTCAAAGTTCGATACTATATCCTTAACTTCCAGTGTTGTCTGTGCTACTGCATCTACATCATCTGCAAATGCGAGAATAATCTTTGCTCCTCTGGCAGTTATGTCTGGTTTGACTCTGTTATAGATTTTTCGCATTGCGTATTCCAATGCTAGGTTAAATAGTAATGGAGACAGCGGGTCTCCCTGTCTGAGCCCGGTGCTTATGCCGAAAGCCTTCGGAAGTTTTGCCCCCTATTCTAATTAGTTATTGCAGAGATAAGTCTGTAACTAGAGCCACAAGGTATGTGTTATCAGATTTACATGTGATTTCAAGCTAAAACTTCATATTATCATATGTTGTGAGTTGTAACAGTCTAATATCCGATATATAAAAGTGGAGTTACTATTTTAACGTCGGGTGCTAATTGTTCAACAATAAAATGACACATCGTCGTGTCACTATAAAATGACACCAGGTGTAGAAACATCGTATCTTAAATGCAAATCTGAACAATGCGTTTGGCACGGATAAATAAAATATTATATTAGCTAATCATATATACATAAACAAAATATTAATAGAAAGCAAATATTCTCTAAAGATGTACAAGAATATGAAAATATACGTATGGCAACTGCCAATTTTATCACTGATGAAGTTGCAGTTTTTGGGTACTTATTGTATGTAGCTAGTTTTTATATACTTCTTGATGGTAGCAGCCAGGTTACTTTGGTCTGATATAGTGATTGGTGTTCTCAATAATGTCACTACTTACCCCCTCGCATTTCATATTTCGTAAATTTAATATAATTTAGGATCAAGGAAAGACATAAAATTATAATGTTGACATGATAAAACAGATTTTTACGATCTATAATCTCCTATGATGAAAAAAATACAGCTAGGGATTGATTCCGCTGCCGATGGTGAGATCCAGTACAATTAAACATCGATTGTATTACTCAACAGTGGAATTGTGTGGCCCTGTGTGCTTAAGATTATGAGATCTGATGAGACATAAAAGCAGCTTCACTGAAAAATATATTAACTTTATTATTTATTTTTTATTTATATATATTTAATTTTATTTATATTAAAAACCTATTATTGTTTGTATTTCAGGAAAATCTAAAAAAGAAACAACAATTACCTAGCACCCCTTCAAGTCTGAGCGCTTTAAGAGATACAACAACAGCACAACCTACCATTAGTCATATTTCATCCCCACCACTCACAGATCTTCCCACAGATGTAAGTATAAGTTACAGTTCTCTTAAATTTTTATTGTTGATCGAAAAACGGTCTGCTAAATATTCAGAAAAAATTTAATGCATAAGATTTTTTTGTTTATACATAATATTTACTTTTTTGTATGTTTCTAAAAGTTTCTGAACTTCGTACTACAATGAAAACACAACTTCAAAACCAACTAATTTAAAAAAGAAGACTGTCCGATGTCTTAAAAAGTTTTTGAGTACAAATCAAGATTTTGACATACTCTATTATTAAACAAGATAAAATTGATAAAACGTCATAAAACACCGTAATTGTGACGTTTGATCTATAATTTGTGTTCGCTATATTGACTATCAACTTCAAAAACGTCACTTTGTGTCCGTCATATCAGTAGTCAAAATTCATAGTCAGATGTCATCATCCAATCATTCACCTCCACCCCCGTCTCCATCTTCATCCAAAAAAAGCATTTCAGAGAGCGAAAACGAAACTCACCACGCATTACCTTCCAATGATGGTTTAGACCCAGTAATTCCCCAAGCTCCTATAACCGACGAAGATCCATTGTTTTTCTCACCTCTCGCAACTAATGGAAATTGTTTGGAAAGCGAAATACCGAGTCAAGAGGTTAGTTTTCAATGAAATTGAAGCGAGGGAAGGGTGGAATTCAATATGGGAGTTGTGTGTGAGACGAGTGAAAGTGAAAGGTGGAAAGATATGTTCTGAGGTATGAAAACTTTTGTGTGAGAATGTTTTTTGAATGTATATTCGCAATTGTAAAAAATAGACATGTTTTTAAAGAAATATTTCGATAAACTCAATTTTAGTAGGAATATATCTTTGTATATGAATTTAGTTTGTTAATGTTGCCAATATTTTAAAGTTAGTACTTTATACAGCTTATACAGTAATTAGCATTGCTATACCTAATCATTTTTATCGTTTAATGCACGTTTTCCCTTTGCCTTTATGACTAATTAGAATTCTTTTGATATACAAGTCTCGTCTAAATATCCCACTTGTTGGTTGGATATCATCACTTTCTTTACTCTATCTACCGCTGCTGTGAAGAACTGCATCTAAATCACTCCCTTTAATTTTTTAACCATGACACTTTCCTTCTTTCTGTACTCCTTGCTCCGCTTATCTTTCCATGTAATCAATCTTAACATTTCGCTTCATTACGTGTCTCAGATATTCTAACTTTTTGATTTTTATTGTATTTATTATTTCGTATTCTTTGCCCATTTCTCGAAATACTTCTGTGTTCATTTTCTTCTGTATCCATGCTATTCTAAGCATCCTTCTGTAACACCATATTTCAAACGACTATATTATTTATGTGTTCTTGCTTCAGTATCCAGCGTTCTTACTATAAATTCTAAGCATAAGTATTGTTCTGAAGTTAATTTTTGTATTTTGAGACCAATTTCCGAAGTGGAAATTGAAACGTCAATAAATTTACTTTACCCGTTAATTGTGGCCTATTCTCATTTAAATAATAATTACTGTTAGCATAAGGTCTTTGTTGCAGCGAATTGTTTTCATTTTTACAAATGCATTTCTTGCTATTTCTATCCTGGACCTTATATCTGTAGTTTGATCATTATTTTCTGAAATTCAGTTTTCCAGGTATTTGTATTTGTCAACCCTTTCTATCGGTACATCTCCCAAATGTATGTTTGTTTGTATATATATATATATATATATATATATATATATATATATATATATATATATATATATATTTTCTTTGTTATTATCAGTATTTAGTCTTTTTAATATTCATTTTTAGTCCATATTTCTCATAATAACTCCTTGTCTTATTTAGTAGTAGTTGGAGTTGTTCAGTAGAGCTTGCTATAATCACGGTGAATAGTCCTTTCAATAATCCACTATTTATATACATCCCTTCCTAACTTTTCTCCTGATTTCATTTTTTGTACTGGGTTCGTTATCTATTACAATTTGTGCTCTTTGATTCCAATAAAGGTTTGTTATTATTCTTAAGTCTCTTGTCTATGTTTCTGTCTTTAGAATTTGGACTAATTGTTCATATCTTACGTTGTCAAATGTTTTTTCAAAATCAACATAACAAACACGTACATCCACATTCATATGTATACATCTTCGACCTATCACATTAAAAGCAAATAACTTCTCTCTGGTTACTAGTCCGTTTCTGAATCCATCCTGACATCATCTATTCCTTCTTCCAGTTTCTTATTTATACAACCATGTATTATTTTCAAGAATAATTTGAGAACATCACTTCTTACTGATATTGTTCTGTATTCACTTCAGTCTTTAGATATTGTATTTTTAGGAATAACGCAAAATGTGAAGAGTAACCGTTCTTTCGGTACATGTCCTGTTTTGTATTAAACAAGTCTACTATAATGTCCACGGTTTCATCGTTTATGCATTTTAAGCTTTCTACTGGGATTTGATGTGGACCCATTGCTTGCGATTTTTGCTGTTTTTTAATGAAATTTAATTTCCTCTTTTAATATTCTTATTTTACTTCCATTGTTTCTGTTCTATTCTATTGTTTTTGAACAACTCATTTCCTCTTTTAATATTCTTATTTTACTTCCATCAGTTCTGTTCTATTCTATTGTTTTTTAACAACTCATTGATGTATTCTGTACATCACTATAAATTTTTCGTTAGTATTCAACAATTAGTTTCCCGTTTGTATCTCTCAGTATTCCGTTTTCTTTTCTATTGTTGTGAGTTAATTAATTTTTTTGTGCGCGTTAAAACTCTCACGTTTTTTTTCTGGTATTGTACTATTTCTTCGTGTTGTTCTTTTTAACCATTCTTCTTTAGCTTGCTTAATTTTGGTTTTTATTTGTTCATCCACTTTCTTGTACATCTGATTATCTTTTTTTTATGTTGACGTCTTCCTTCCACGAAATCTAAAGTTTCCTCCATCATCCATTTCTTTTTTTGTCTGGTTTGTGTCGAAATTTCTTTTTGAGTTTTATCTATTTCTGCCTTTTTTAATAACATTTTTTATCTATTTCAGTTTTTTTGCAGAATTTGTTCTTTAGCATTCATTAGCCGATTATTGATTTCATCTGTAAACCGTTGTGTTATGTTCCGTGTATGTTGTTCCTTAATTTACTTGTTTCGATGTGTACATCTGTTGTTAATCGTTGTGTTATTTTCATTTTGAGTATATTCTTCTAGTCTAAATCACTACTGTTTTATGATTTGATCCTATGTCGACATTCCTATTTTCGATAATGTAATTGCGGCCATGTATCTTTGTCTAACTAACACGATATATTTGATTTCTTACAATTATCTCTTCTAGGTCTACTGGTGATTTTCGTGTGTCTAGTCTTGTCTTTGACAGTTTAAAAGCATTTTATTTGCTATAAAAAATTGTTTTGGCATTCGATAAGTCTAATACCCATTTCATTTCTGTTTTCCAGACTATATCCCTCCTGTACATTTTTCTAATTTTTCTTCTCCAACGTTTGCGTTAAAATCTTCGATTATAATTGTAAGATCCTCTAGTTTAATGGATTTTCAAAATATTGTCTATGTCTTTGTAGAAAGTTTCAATGCCTCTTTCTGGTTTGACGGCATAAACTTATATAATGTTTATTTTGGGTTTATTCTGGTTTAATCGTATGAGTATAATTCTGTTTGAGTATAGCGAAATTTCATTCAATTTTTAAGTTTCAGACACATGTTCGGTGGGTGTGTCGTATTTCTGGTTCGTCCGTCTTTGGAAATGATTTTCCATTTATAGGACAAGACTCTCCCACCTGAAGCTGTTGGTCAGTAATTGAGGGATTGCTTATACCGGTAATCACTCGGTCTTAGGACCTCGTTTGTTATCTAACAGGATGTACGGGATGATCAGGTTCAAGATCATCTCACGGACAGGCGAGGTTGTAATAAGTCTCTCACACCAGGTCGTTTTTATATTTCCTACCAGGAACTACTAAATGCGATTATTTCTATTGAGTGCTCTCATGTTGACTTTGAATATACCCTAACAAACAATCAGTGCATTCTCGTTTTGCCACTGACCTTTGCCATACTAATATATATGTAGCTTTAATTTTATCTTGTTTCGTAAATATCCATCTAAGCATTCTCAGGAGAGTTTGTTATGGAACTTCAAGGACCTTCATCGTCATATTTACATAGAAAAAAATACTCGTTGGCAGTATGACCGACGGTCCAAGCTAAAAAAAAATGTAAGCATTCTCATTTCTGTAATAAGCATCAGTTGTAGGTATTACTTTTTAACTTTCCTAAATTCAATTCAATTCAATTAGTTATTGGAGGTATTATAGTATTTACCTTCCAGTTCTCTTAAAATTTTCCACGCATTTCATTTTTTATATTTATCTTTTTTAATGAACTAATTAATTTTCTGGATTTCTGAGAAAGAGGGGAGAGAAAATAAACAGAGCATTTTTATTCCTTTATTAACTAATCTATGTGCACTCTCAACATTTATGATATTCTTGTATAATTTCAAGAACTGACATTATTTTAATAATATTAATGAATATATGTACATTGTCTCCTATGATGTAAACAAATACGCTAGGGGTTGATTTACTACCAACGGTTGTAACCGGTATAATCATATCCTGATTGTATATCTGGTAGTTGAATCATTTGGCCTTATGTGCGGATGATTATGAGAGCTGAGGAGACACAAAACATTTTAAGAAAATACCACATCATCATATTTTACTGTAAGACGCATCTCAACGTCTCAGTATTGATTTGAACTACTATTAAATTATCTACCGTAATTGTTCTCAGGCCTCTGAAGAATGTTCGAACGCAGGTTCAGCTGCCGCGGGCAACGCCTCTGCCGCTGAAACAATTGCCGCCGAAGCTGCTGCGGCTGCCGCCACCTCCTCTGGCGAAACGGACGCCGGCACCGGTAGCGAAGACAAGGATGGCGATAAGGACGTGAAGAAAAAGAAGAATCGATGTGCCACTTGTCGCAAGAAGGTCGGCCTAACAGGTGAGATTTCATTTTGAATTTTAGACGTAGTAGACGTCTACTGCTTCTAGGTAGGTAGAGTAAACTACAATAATTTTTTTACAGTTATAAAATTCTGTCTTTTGCAAATGTCCCTTTTTCTGTAACATATGCAGGTGTTCTAACACATCACATTATGGACGTGTCAGTGAATTACTTAGTACATAACAGTATGCCACATATGTAGCATATGTGGCGCCCTCTATCAGCTAGATTAAAGTATGCATCAAATTATAACTTCTGATGATCAATACTACCCAGTTATGAATTTTTATACATAAATGTTGACAAACATGAAAGTTATAGCAAAAATTCAAATTTTAAATTTCCACTTTTAACACTCTGTATCTTTCTTAATATCAACATTTTATTTAAGCAATTTGCTTAAATCGTAATATTTTAAAGTGTAGAATCTACGGTTTCTTTTTGTGCAATTACTTAAGAACGACCCTGTATACATAGATAGACTGTTTACACAAATAAGTAATACTAGCATGTTGCAATGTTGTTAAGTAAAAGTTTCTACGTAGATTAGCAATGAATTCATTTTTACTGATTATATATTTGCTGTTTCAGGTTTTGAATGTCGTTGCGGAGGACTATTTTGTGCCATCCATCGATACAGCGATAAACACGACTGCAGTTTTAACTACCGGGAGATGGGCGCCCAAGAAATTAGACGCAACAATCCCGTCGTTGTAGGTGAAAAGATCCAAAAGATCTGAACCTCGCCGCAACGTTAACTAGAAGTTTGCGTGTGCCATGCGCCCATCCATACCGAGTGATCAAATGAGATATGGACAAATTTTTTTTCTGAAAAAAGAATCATTGATCAGAACTGGTCGGGGTGTTATTAGTGCAAACACACAAACAAACAAAAAAGACTTAAGTGATTTATTATTATATGGTACTTTTATTTACAATTTTGCCACTCAATTTCGTCTTTAGTTTTATTTCCATTAATAAATTTAGATATATAAATATATATGTCATTTTAGCTTCTTTGTTGATTGTATATACATATTACTGGAGGGATGTCGGGACTGTGAACTGTATTTGGTTTCAGTTTGACTGTTCTCTAAAGTCTGGCCATCAGTCAGAAAACCAAATTGTGCTTTATATATTTTTACATATAATTCAACAAACATGTTGCAATATCTCTTTATAACTCTGACCTTTATATTGCGAACCTTCAAAACACAAAATTTTATTGCTTGGTTTTTGAAGTATTTCTATGTTTTGTATTAAATATGACTGTAATTAGTCTATAATGATATTATTCCGATGAGTATTGTTCCAATTATTAAACTGTTTAAAAACATTTGGCCGTAGAGAAACAAGGTGTTAAAATTTTTTACGAACTAAATCATTTTTTGTATGTCTGTATATGTGCAGGTTTCTTAAGAATCTACTTAAACCATTTCCTCGATTTATTCAAATATCTGGTAAAATAATAAGTAATATGAAATAATCAATCATCTTGGTATCAGTACTTAAACCAAAAAAATCACATGACAAAAATCCTGGATTAAGTATATTGTTAAAGAAAATAAAGGAAAGGTCGATAAAGCTGTTCAACCAACTAGACCAAATATGAAGAGTTAGAAAAGAAGCACTGGAAGAACTAACGTAATACAAATAGATTAGAGAACTAGTAATAATAATACCAGAATCTAAATTTGACGACTACAGCCCGAGAGCGTAAGAATGATGAAGATTCGTGGAATTTTAAATATAAATAAAACCATTTAACATTTATTACTCTACTTGCCATTGATATCAACTATGCATAACTTATAGCAGATAATTCCAATATTCTACATGATATATATAAAAACGACACTGCTAACTTTTTAACAGACCAAAGTATTTACACTACAAATCATTATTTTAGATATTTTTAATATTTTCTACAAATATAAGATTTTAAAATTTTATTATTTATATAGAAAATTTCTAACACTTTTTTTATTAAAAATTTTCTGTTATAAATATAGATATATATCTTCTGTACCTATATACATAAAGTATTGCCACTTTTAAATACGAGTCCCTTATTCACATATATTTAAATAGAAAGTTAAACTGAAACCGAAAACCAGATTTTCCCTGATCCACACAAATTTTCTACAGGGTATCAAACAATGTTGCACTCCTTTTACAAGCACGTTGTGGGACATCCTGTATATAGATATTATTTACCTTTGGTAAGGGACGTATAGCGCCCTGGCTTCTGCAATTCTAATCCAATATTAATGTAGAAGTTTTTTTTTTGTTTTATTGAATCCCATTTAGTCGCAGACGGGCAAATACAGGGTGAAGACGATATTTTCCAAATACAATAATTAAAATGTACAATGCTTATATAAGTGTAGTGAGTGAAAAAAGCTATAACAAAATTTTCCATTTGTGTATAACCTTTTTTTTAAGATGTAGGACACAGGATACAATTGGTTCACTGATATAATATTTCAAATACACTTTAATATATTAAACATAATATAGTTAAAATTGAACCTACATCCACTTAAGTTTTAAAAAATTTTATTCACACTTTTTAGCTGTATTTAACATGTTTCTTTATCATATTAAGATCTCCAATGTATGCTCATTCTAATATTTACTTCCTATTTCACATGTTTTACTTTAATTCTAGATTATCCTTATCGGTTGCCAGTACATTGTGACATAAGTTGTTTTTTCAAGATGGTTGCTAATCAGCTGCCATGTCATCTGTAATAAGTTCTGTACGTCATTTGTGTCATCTTTTTTTGTGCCATAGGCAGGTTAGTCTATGTTAACTGCCAATTTTTGATATAACAATTATCTATGTGTCAAGTGTACACTTTCTGAATAAATCTCGACAAAAAAATAAATATTCTTATGTAGAATTTCTACGAGCTTATATAAAAATTAAACTATATACTACTTTTTTAGTGTAAAAGATATAGAGTGAATGCGGAATATTTGATCTACAATCGCTAACATTCATAATTACCAACTACTTATATATTTTTTTATAATCATTTTACAAACTTAATTTGAACATTTTAATATAAAGAGAAGATTTTTAAATGCATTGTTTGCTATACACAAGCTTCACTCTGTAGCTCGACTCTTGCTTTACATGTTTAGTTGAATTTTGTTCTTGTTGACTGAGTTTTTGCCCATTTTTGACTGATGGGAATGTTTAAAGGATTCAGGTTAAAATTAGTTTTTTGAGCAGTTTATTTTATCGTGCAAACATAGGCAAAGCCTCTTGAGGAGTCGGTATTGCAGGTAAGCGGTCGGTGATAGGTGAACTCTAGAATTACCGAAAATATACTTTTTTAGTTTTGGATTTTGTAAAATGTAATTTTTCATGTATTTTTCAAATGTAGCTGTGCTGAATATTGTTAACAGATTCCAGTCTTGTAATAAGTTTATTATGTAACAAATCTATCCATTACAAGCTTTTTCATGTCTTCAATAAGATTTTTAGGACACCATAAAAATTTATGTTGTTTGGTTAACAGAAATTCATGACATCTATTTTATTACACTTAATCAAATGCTTTCTTTTATTGATATAAACAGTTCGATAAGCATTCGACATAACACTATATATGCGAATAAATCTGACACTAAATAAATAAAAAAATAAAATAAAATAAAATCCAATAAAAATTCAGGAGATGGACAGATACAGAGAGAAACGAAAAAACATGATTGATTACGGGTGATGTGTGCCGTATCAAAAATTTAGTTGGTATAAATATTTACAAATTAAGTGCATTCCAAACCGATTAAATTGTATTTAGATACCAATTAAAAGCTGGCAGGATGAGACTTACAACTTAAATTTGAAAACATTAAAAATAATTTATAGTTATTGGGTCCCAAAGTTTTTCCATCCTTTTTTTAATTTGAAAATTGTTTTACTAAGTCATATCTCATGCTAAGAAGAGAAAATATTTAAATATTTGACAACACTGCCAAATTTAGAACATTGAGTGCAACGGTATCTTCTACTAGATAATATAACTGCTCTATTCCCTATTTTTTCTATATCTTCAAAAGCAAAAATATTTCTCACGTGTCAGTATTTGCTTGTCGGATAATAACAACACACATTCATGATATCCAGCAGCTTTTGTGGTGTGTTAAATTTAAACAGTCCGTTTAAAAGAAAGAAATGACAGATTGAAAATACAATATAACTACAATTTATTATTTTATACCAAAATAATTTCATCTAACTACTGTGTTGGTGAGCTTATGAGCTGGCCAAAAAAGAGTGACTTATGACATAAAATTTCTTTATTTTTGATCATCACAAGTACAGTTAACTCATGTCATCAAGTAAATGAAAAAAATTGGAATACTATAACAGCTTCTATATTAAACCATTTTGTTGCAGTAAGTTATTTTAACTTTGATCTGTGATACAACATCAAGCTGCTATGCAAAAATCCAGTTGTGATATCGCTATTTTGACAAATTGTGTTAACTGTGAATGTAGTGAGCAAACATTTAGGATATGTTTAAGGAATTAAGTAATTAAACACATTTATGTTTCACATTTAGTCTTGATGATTTCTGTTAGTTTGTCAATAATTCAAATTATGTAATGTATGGTAACGTGACATTTGTCAGAAACAGATTGGTTAACCTAAACAAATTGGTTAACTAAAGGCTTACAGTGCGAAGTATTTATGTAATGGATAGATTTAAATTGATTAAATCAGCGCGCCTGGTCTGATTCTACCGACAAAGTATTTCAAACGAAAAATTGCGCTTAACAGAAAAAATTCGAAAATAAAGTTACGAATATTTTTTGCTTTAATCAGTGACTAGTGAATAGTTTATATATGAACTTGACAAAGAAGTTAATCGGACGTATTTTTAGTTCAAAAACCAAAATGTTTTCCTATACTGACAACAAATTTAGTGGCAAATGCAAAGGCTCTAAAAAATATACACATGTAGTTTTGATTTTGAAAAATATTAAAGACTTTAAAAAAGTTTTAGGTTAGGTTTTTAGGGAAACAAAATAATGTACGTTATAAAGATTTAATTAATAAACTGTTAGTTACATACGCTTGTTTATTGACACATACTAAGACCACTGCTATTTTAGAGTTGGGAGTCACTTGCGTTATTAAAAATAAACCCAAATATAACACTTAATAGTTGCCATTACAATATCCCTACATTTTTAAGGAAATAACTTGAATTCATTGGAATCATATAACAGTAACTTAATTTTCAGAATAAACACGGGCACTATTTGGAATGTATGTACTTTAATTTTTCTGTCTGGTGTATATTTCACGAGAATAAACACACGATATAAACGTGACAGTACTGTAGCGCCTTAAATTTATTATGGTAGTACAATAGTAACAGTTTTCAAGTTCTCCAAAATTAATAGGTGTTGATTGAAATTAAACATTTTTAGATATCTAATAGATATGCAGGTCACTGGAAAGTTTTATCTCTAATTTTTTTCTCTTAAAATCACAAGTAAATAAGTTCTACCTAATTTTATCCACTACAGATTGGACATCAAAGCCTTGTAGGGAGTAGATCACCGGAGTATGCTATTATGAGTAGAGTCTGGATTAAATAAAAAAAAGTTAAAATAGTTGCTTAAAAAGCATAGTTTTGCTTGAAAAAATAGGATGAAATATCCATAAAAAGGCATAACAATCGTAAAAAACTTAAAACAAAAATAAAACTTAATTTGTTCTTAACAAAACCAAAATCATAAAATAGAATAAAGTTAGACAAAATAAAGTTTAACTATTTCATTGTAAAATTTTGTCTTCCGTATCAGTATTTCCTGTCAATACCAAATCAATTTCTTAATTTCTGAAAAGGTTTATTCTTAAACATATCTTTTTTTGAAAGTTTTTTATACATTTGGACCGTTATTTCAGGAATACTATCAATGAACTCTTCGAAATTGTTAATTTAAATCGAGTCATATAGTCATTACTTGTTTCTCAACAGACTTTATATATCACTCACAAAACTAAAATTCATCTTAAAATAAGCTAAATTGTTTCTTGTGTCTTTAGATCTAAGACCGTTTAATAATTTTTAATTGCCTTGCTCTGCATTATATTGCAGCGTCCAACCAAGTGCCCCAACTTTTTAAACCAGTTAAACCAGGTAAGGTGGTAATGGGGTGTAGGGTACTACTTGAGAGTATTCCTTGAAGAGGTGTACTTGAAAAGGCGCCTTAACAAAATTTTTTTTTCCATATTTAATATGTTTATGAAAAAGAAGAAATTGCTGCCTTATAGTTTCAGTAACTCTAAGCTGTGTATCTAAGCAAGTGCAATGGATTAAATTTAGGTAAAACAGTTCTAAGCTTAAGCTGTTTTGACCATATTATACGCTGTGACAGAAAACATGAGTAATACTTTATTACAGGGAACTACTGGTTCTGGAAAGTAAAAGCTTGTTATTGCTTAATTTACAAATCTGGATATTGTGTTACTGTTTCTGCTGTCGAGAGTATATTAATTATTCTTTAGTTGACTTTCTTCATCGAGAACTCCGAATCATTAAATTTGCAACATATCTTACACAAGTATCCGTCGTTTTATTCATTGTAAATCAAATATAGTGACTATATTTCCTGTGTATTAGTCAATCGAACCTACTCTTTACCAATTTTTATAAATTTCTTAAACTTTAACCTAGTTATTAAAATAATATAATTTTTTTGGTATCCTTTAAATTTTAAAAAATAATACCAATTACCGTGTTTACACAGGCTCTGAAAAATAATTTTCCACCCTAATACTTTAAATTAACTCATCCACTGAGGGCTTTCTCTTCGGCATATTGAAACAAAAACGAAAATTAAAATATGTAGTAAATTACTATCAAACAGTTGACGGTACATTAACAGACAAGATACTGCCTAGGGATTATTTTAATTTTAGATTAGGGATTCACAGGCCTTTAACGAAAGGCAAAAACAATAATACAATAATAAATTGACAATGTGAACAAGAGTATAATGCTACGAATTGCATAAAGAGTTTAGAGCTGGTCTCTGGCTATCTTTTATATTTGATGAGCTGACAGTCTCTTTTCGATGTAGAGTCTACAAATGATCATAAAAATGACAATTTCTGTGTTTAAAAGAATGCCATGATTGTTATCGTTCGTTAATTTCACATGTGAAATACAATGACGCTACAGTAACTGCACTATAAAAACGTACAAATATTGTAAATCCATCTATTAAAAAAAACTCGATAGAAAAGTTGTACCAAGCAAAACGTTAAAAATTTCAATCAACTATTAAGATTAATTATAAAGATTTCCGTAATTTTTGCTTTGAAATACAAACCAAAAAATCAATTCTGTAAGACCGCAAAGGCGCAATTTAAAATACTTTCTTAATTTCAAGTTGATTTTAGCATAACTCTCTTAAAATACATACATTTTCCCAAGTTTTCAACATCAATCTGTTAAAATGACAACCATCAACGATCTACAAATATGGTGTTTTTGTTGCGGTGTGTAAATGTATAGTAACAAACGATATGTTTTTTGTTGAATTCTCAGGTTTGTTCAGAATATTGACAGTTTTGGTGAGTGTTGTCATTTTGATGTGAGTTTTTCCATTCAATTTTTTCACATATCACTGTACCAAATTGTCTTTTTGAATGACGAGTTTTATTTAATAAAATGTTGTATTTTTGAACTGCTTTTTATTTTTATTCCTAATAAATTTCCAAATCTAGGAACCTGAACAAGAAAGTTTTTAAATTTTTCCATGTTATTCATTTTTACTCAAGCAACAATCTGACATATAGATGGTGCAAGTAATAACAAATATATCTGAAGTATGAACCTTCCAACGTCACTTGTCAAAATAAAAGTTCCACTGCACTTTACTGCACTGGTTCAGTGAACATATTTTCGTAATTTTCAAAACCATGGAAAATCTGAATTTTGTGCCGGTAATTCATTGCTTCCTGGCAAATAAAATGATAATATAGTTATCTAGGACAACGTCAAAAGTGTATAGTCTATTTACCTATATACCAAGGGGTGTTCTTATACCAAATGCGCAACAATTTATCAGAATAAACACGAATAAGTACCATTTCAACATCAAGAAAGAAACACTTAGGAAATGACAAAAGCTACCGAAGGTAAGGAGCACCAGTTAAACTTATCGTTACCTAGGAAGTTGAAACAATGTGCTTAAGAAATAGAGAAGAATAATGATTATTGGGACCAAAAAAGAATGAGATATTTTCTTGAGTAAAGAATTCACGTAAAAAGAGAATATATACTTTGGCATATACGCCCAAATGGTTCGTCTACTCGATCGTGCTATTCCACCTTGACGTGGTGATGAGTCGAGAAACTGTGCGGTCTACTGAAGTACTAGACCACAGCTGTTTTCATTCTAGACATTAATTATACTTGTATTGAGAGGCGCGGCAGATACGGCCCCTATGTACTTAATACGCTTGGGCCCAGAAAGGACCAAATCAGTTAACATCGGGACAGAAACAAACATACGACGATTTACGCATTCCTACAGAAAACTGAGAAACTTGAGGTATCTCGACAATACTTATCGAAATCTTAACGAATGAAGCTTAAGATTGTGAGGTAGCAGGTTGCTGACACAAGAAATCTTCAACCACTTTTCGAGAGAGAATTAATTAGTGTGACACATGCTGCTCAGCGGGCTGCGTCGACCAGTACCCCCGACGAGAGGATGACAAACAAAGCAGAGCTTCATCTCCTCCCATAAAAGATTGTGGTGGTGGAAGTTACAAAAATACTCTATTGGGGAGCAAGATAGCAGTGATCAGCAAGAAGTACCGTGACAACATGGTATCCAAGAATTAAATAGATCCCATAAAAGGCCTAATAAAAGTTGTCGATGAAGCTACAGATGCTTCTCAATATACACGAAGTCGAATCAAGGTCAGATACTTTGGGTGATGTGTTGCCGAAGAGCCTTTGAACTTTCCTAAAGAAAAACTAAATCCTGCGAAATAAGACGAGATGGAAATTTTTTTTTATTAAAAAGAAACATTGCCGCATCCACCAACAGGTTATTAGCGGCGTTACTCAGTAAACAAAACTGTAAATCTGATACAAAACATTGATTGACCTTAGGATAAGTTTTTTACGGGACAGTTTTCTCCTAATAAATCTGGTAGAGTATTTGGTATATTGTTTATTAAACGTTCTCTATGGAATTTTGGACACTCAATTAACAAATGCACGACGGTAAGAGGCGTAGCACATAGGTCGCACAGGGAGCGTTCACTGGCCGAAAGTAAATAAGAGTGTGTGATCTTAGTGTGTTCTATACGTAGGCTCGTTAGTACCGTTTGAATAAACCGTGTACTAGCACTAGTTTTCCACTGTCGTGTATCTGGTTTTAGTGATATATACGATACAATAATGAACTGACAGCCCAATGTAAACAAAAGTAAGATATTACGAATTATATTAAAAAGGTAGTCGGGCATTAATGACATACGGTTAAGAATTTATGGTTTCTAAAGTACAGGAGGTCATTCCTTATTTTAAATGACAATGTTATCTCTGATCTGGCATAAATTAAATAATCTATCCGTAGTAATTTCATATGAAGACTAAATTTAATATAAAAATAATTATCATCCACGGCAAAATGAAAGCCTTTCATCAAGACAAATTGGAACAAATGTTTCTCCTGGCCCATTCGTCCGATGTCCATCTGATCCATTGCCACATTTGAAAATAGTACCTTGCTTCTGTAATTATTAAACATAAAAACATTTCGGACAAAATACAATCTTTCAATTCTATTCCTGTATTATAATGGTAGACCTGTAGCCATTTTTCTACAAGATAGTCTACCAGCACGATCTATTTTGCAGCAAAACCAACAGAGTTGGCTATAACATTGGTACACTTCCCGTCATTATAAAACTGGCACACTTTTTTTCCCAATGTAAACCTGTGTTTGGACACAATGGTTACTGAATCAATTCATTATTGCCATCACAGATAACGGAATTGCACTATCTAAATAAAAAATAATGTTTAAAAATATATAAAATTTTTAGATAGATATTATTTTTATCATTAACAACAAAAAACCGCATCTAATAGATTAAATAACCAGATATAGGGTTGAATTAATATCCAAAATGTTTGAAGGATCTTTAAACTTAGGGTATTGGCACAAGGAACATTTGAATTCATCTACTGTAATTTTATACTTCAATTACCTACCGAACACGGCCTGTATTTTGTGTTAATAAATTTTGTAACAGGCAAACCACCAACATTAATTTATTATTTATTACAAGAACGATAAAAAATGTGAAAAATTAACATTATATTTTATCCTGCATATTCATCATCATCATCTTGGCGCTACAGCCCCTAGAGGGCCTCGACCTTCTCAAGCTTTCTACGCCATTCTGTTCTGTCCCTTGCTTGCATTTTCAGTTGCCGACTCCGATCTTCTCCGCATCTTGTGTTACCCCATCCATCCACCTCAGCTTTGGTCTACACCGTCTTCTCAATCCCACGGGTTGCGCTGTTAGAATCTTTTTTATCACATTCGATTCAGGGGCCCGGGCTACATGTCCTGTCCACTGCAGGCGGTTTCGCTTAATTATAGTGGTAATATCTTTACCACCAAACGTATGCTAGTAGATATTCTGCAGTTCAAAGTTATATCTACGCCTCCATATTCCGTTCTCACAGACCGCTCCGAATATCTTGCGTAGCACCTTTCTTTCAAAAATCGATAGAGCGGATTCATATGTTTTAGTTAGCGTCCATGCCTCCGATCCATATGTGAGAACGAGGACTATCAGTGTTCTATACAGCCTTATACGAGTTTTTTGAGACAGACGTTTGTTAGCTAAGTACTTTGATAAACTATGATAACACCTGTTTGCAATCCTGCATATTATAAACTATAAAATATTCGGGCGAGTCACGTTTTGAGATTGAATGTACACTTCCCGTCATATAAAACTGGTACACTTTTTTTTTCCAATGTAAACCTGTGTTCAGACTGGACACAGTGGTTCGTGAATCAATTCGTTGTTGCCATCACAGATAACAAAATTTCAGTAAATTTAAATAAAACGTAAAACGTAAAAAATAACATTTAAAAATGTATAAAGTTTTTAGATGGATATTATTTTTATAATTAACAACAAAAAACCGTATATAATAAATTCAATAACCAGAGAGAGCCTTGTGTTAATGTTCAAAATGTTGAAAGATTTGAAACTTAGGGTATTGGCACATTTGAATGCATCTACTGTAATTTTATACTTCAATTACTTCTTCTTCTTCTTTAAGTTCCATCTTCTATCGAAGGTTGGAAATCATCATGGTTACGCGGACTCTGATGACTGCCGCTCTAAAAAGTTTTGCACTACTGCATTCAAACCATTCCCTTAAGTTCTTAAGCCAGGATATTCTTCGTCTTCCTACATTTCGCTTTCCACGGATTTTGCCCCGCATATTGCTCACTGTAATGTTCCTTATGGAGGTTGAATCTACACCCTAATTGTAATCCTTTTTTATCTATAAATAGACTATTACTTTTTTATATTAATATGTATAAAATGTAAAGAAAAAACATTTACCTACCCATAATGCATATTTGTTCAAAATTAAATGATTTACGGTGTATAAATGATAATGAGAATAAAATTAAGCGAAGTGAGAAAAAATGTTGGTTTAGTATCTACAAATGTTATCATTGCGTGAACACTTCCCGAACATATCCGAACTATTAACTATAAAAATTAAACATAAAAAATATTGCTTGCCATTAGTCAGATTTGACAAGTTTGTCAAAGTGAATTTTTAAAGATGCCACGTCAGTTAAGTCGGTTTGATGAAACGAGAATAATTCCAAAAATAGAAGATGATTGGTCTATTCGACAACTGGCTCAAGAGGTAAATAGAAGCAAAACCACAATCCACAACATTAAAAAAGATGGGAAAACGAGCCGACTTTGGATAGAAGGAGAGGTAGTGGGAGACCAGTTATTACTACAGCCCAACAAGATAAAACATTAACTAATTATTTAAGAGCGTATCTCTTCCATACGGCAAGGCAAGCAAAAGGTAATACAAACTTTAATGCTTCTATAACTACAGCATTAAAGAGAATTAGAAAAACAGATTTAAAAAATTGTGCAGCCGCCCGAAAATACAAATTTAGCGAGAAACATAAACAAAGTAGACTCCTATTTGCTTTAAATTTCGTTTTAAATGATCCAGTCAATTTTTGGGACCGTATAATTTTTACTGATGAAAAAGTATTCCAGTCTCATAATGATGGCAATATTAAGGTTTATAGACCGCCTCGAAATAGGTTTAACGAAAACTAGATTTCATCAAATGATAAGTCCGGACTCTCTATAAATGTTTGGGCTTGGATGTATAGAGGAGGTTTAGGAATGTGTTGGAGAATTGAAGGACGATTCAATACTGAAACCTATTTACATATATTAGATAATGTGATGTTGCCATCGGTTAGAGGAAATATTTCCCAACAATAATTTTATTTTCCAGCATGACAACTGTTCAATCCACACAGCCCACCGTGTACGGGATTACCTTATGGAATATAGCATTGAAGCTCTTCCATGGCTCTATAAAAGTCCAGATATTAATCCAATAGAGAACGTTTGGGGACTTATGATCA